ACGATGATGAAGACGACGACGATGATGATAATAGCGATAGAGATTGTAGCATAGCATAAGATGATTGTGATGTTGTTGGTTTGGTCATATTTAAACATATAAAGGTTGTAATTATACACACACACACACAAACACACAAGCACTCATACAAGCACACTTGAACATACAAACATATACATATACACACACAAACACACCCACATACGCATACAAAAACACACACACATATGCACATGCATTCGCCTATTGTATTAAGTATAAGGTCTATTGAAATCAATAAGATATAAAAAAATGAGGTGTATGATGATGACGACGACGATGATGATAATGATGACGACGACGACGATGATGATAATGATGACGATGCCATGAAGAAACAAAACTTAATTCCAGGAGATTTTTCTTGAATGCGCGTGTCAATAAAATTCAACAAACAAGCAAATGCATACAAACAAGAGAAATACAAACACATACAAACCAATGTATACAAACCGACACATACAAACAAATAGTCATACAAATCAAATACAGATGTATATATGTTTGCATACAAAACATACACAATACATACACAAATACGTATGAAAATGACAACAATATACGCACGTTCAAATGCAATGAAAATGTTCATATATTATGATATATTTTTGGCAAAATTGTCGAAAATCAAATAACTTTATTATTATCTGATAGTATTTTGATATATAAATACATAAGATACACAAATATATATAGATATATACATTGATATATACACATATATATATATATTTATATATATATACATAGATATATACATAGATATATACATAGATACATCATACATACATACATACTGTCTTTTAAAATTGTCTGCTTAAGATCTGATGATAGCAACTTGTTAGGTGTGCCCCAAACCAACTTGAAAATGGCGGAGAGAAGTTTCTCAGTGAGTGGAATAGTCTACCAAGTTATCTAAGACAGCCCGAACTGACAAAAAAATCATTCAAGAAATTGTTGAAACCATTTTTGTTTTCATTATAAGATTTGGTTTATCGTAGCAATTCAACTGTTTTTTAGACAGTGCTTTTGAGAAACATTTTGTTTGTAATTAGCGCTATACAAATTTTTTTCAAATAATAATAATAATACATACACAAATACACAGACATACATAAACACATATACAAAAATATGAGAGAAAGTATTTTATTGTAGAAATCATAAATAGACCGTCATTATTTATTAATCTATGTCTACAAGATAATATGCACGCGTGTAGTGTATGTATGTATGTTTGTATGTAAAAATCAAATCAAATCACTTTTATTCAATCAAACAAAACAAAAAGCATGAATGATTCGGAGACCAAAAAAAGAAAATTAATTCTTGTGGGCTCGGCCACTGTGCAGCTCAAAATAGCTTCTCAATGATAAAATAAAATTGTCAATAAGAGAAAATGTATCAATGTTAATGAAATATGTACACACTTATATACATATATATACATATATATACATTATTACCCTTTAAAAACAACTTTTCGTAATTAAAAAATTTTTCAGTTTATTTTTAAAAAGATGCAAAGTGTTACAATCTTTAATTTCTTGTGGAATCGTCACCCATATTCCTGGGCCGGTGTGTTTCAAACTCATGCAGAGTACTTTAATTCTGGCTGGTGGAGCATAGAAAAGTGGCGTGTGGCGTGTAGTTCTTGCTTGAATGGAAGTTCCAAAAGTGAAAAAGTCTCTAAAAAATGCCGGCAATTGCAGACGTAGAAATCTAAAAATGAATGTTGCAACGTGGTAAACGAACAAGTTTTTAATGTTGAGTATTTTCATCTCGAGATAATATTCACTTGTATGACAATGAGGATGAAGATTTTTAAATATTCCGATGAATCGGTTTTGGCATTTTGTTAACTGTTTCAGATGAATGTCAGGACTGTTTCCCCAAATTACGTTGCAGTAGATGAGGTGAGGAAAAATTAACGAATAATACAGGTCAATTAGAGTAGGTTTATTTAATTTATTTTTAATTTTGCTTATAACTCCTAGGGTTTTGCATATTCTTTTAGACATAGTATCTATGTGAATATCCCAAGAAAGATTGTCCTTGATTGTTACTCCAAGGAATTTTGTGTTGGTTGAGCGAGGAATAGAAATATTGTTCATTTTTATGTCTATGTTAGGTATAATATTTGTTAAAATTTTCGGACCAAAAATAATGTAATTACATTTAGAATAATTTACTATTAATTTATTTTTGATAAACCAGGTTGATATATTTTGAAGACTGTTATTGATGTATTCTACTTCTTTAAATGGGTCTTTAGTTGGGAAGAAGATGTTAAGTGTCATCTGCATATAGAAGGTGATTTGAAAATCGTTCATGAAGATTATGAATAGAAGAGGACCTAGAATTGATCCTTGTGGCACGCCTGATCTTACGTTAAGTTTTGTTGAGGAGTGACTTTTTATTGCCACATACTGGTCTCTGTTCTCTAAATAACATTTGAACCATGCACTTACTTTTCCTCTTATTCCATGTGAATTTAATTTTTCAATCAGTATATCGTGGTTGATGACGTCAAAGGCCTTTGAGAGGTCTATGAATACACCTACAGTTAGTACCTTTTCGTTAAGATTATTCATAACAAACAACAACAACAACACACGTTTAGACGACATTTTCCCCGAGATCGGGGGTTGCCGTTTGGCTACCTATGATGAAACTGAAATACCCCTCGACGCCATTCTGCCGGATACAGAGGGCCATTGTCACTTCTGTCATCATAAGTAATTTATTTGGCTAATTTTTACGCAAAACGCCCTTCCTTACGCAACCACAGTTATAAGCGGTGGGCCTAGCCTTTGATGATCCAACATCACTCACAAGGCAGTGAGGGTCAGTTTAATGTCATAACCAGAACAGAAGATTATTCATAACATTTTGTGCTAATTGCAGCACAGCTTGCTCAGTTGAATGCTGTGCTCTGTAGCCATATTAATTATCATTTAATAATTTATTTATTAACAGAAATGAGGTGACTCTGACAAAAATTATTTTTTCTAGTACTTTGGAAAGTGGAGATATTGGTCGATAATTACTTGTCTCTAATTTGCTCCCCTTTTTGTGAATTGGAACTACTCTGGATGTTTTGAAGCATTGTAGAAATATTCCTTGGATGATGGAAAGATTGTAAATATGAGTGATTGTGATGACAATTTCTGGGATGATTTTTTCAAGTAGATAGTTACTTAAAGTATCATCTGACGTGCTTTTTTTGTTGCTTAAGTTTTGAACAATGTACATTACTTCTTCTTCATTGGTGGAGTTCATATACATTGATTTACAGATTGCACTATTTATTTTTAATTTATCTTCAGTAACTATTTGATTTTCTAACAGCTTCTCTGTGCCATTGATGAAGTATTCATTGAAAAGAATACTTATTTCCTCTGGGTCTTCAATGATTTTGTCGTCGACTTTTAGCTTATTAATTTCAAGAATGTTTTGTTTTCTATTCATTATACCGTTTATTATTTCCCATTTTTGTTTGGAGCAACTCTTTGCCTCTTCAAATTTTTGTTGAAAATAATTTTTTCTGCCTTTCTCTTTACTGATGTAAAGTAATTTCTAAACTTTTTATATTTTTCAACATTAGCGGAGTTTGGTGCAGCGACTGCTATTTTATACATTCTGTTTTTTTGATAATTTTATTATTTCATCAGATACCCATGCTTTTTTATATTTTTGTTTCTGCCACTGCAGAGGTGCGTATGTTTCAAGAGTTTTATTGAGTATATTGTAGAAATTCAGGCATGCTGTATCTATATTATTCTCGTTTTTAACTGAATGCCAATTTTGAAGTGAGAGGGTTTTTTTAATAAAGAAAATGGATGTTTTATTAATTTTTCTACATAAAATTTGGTCATCATTGATAGCAGTTTTAAAATTTTCTACTATTGCATAAACTGGAAAATGGTCAGAAAAGTCTGAGACTATGACTCCACTTTCGCAATGTTGATACAGGTTCGTAAATATGTTGTCGATTAATGAATTGCCGTTACAAGTTACTCTTGTTGGTAAATTAATTAAAGGCGAGAAACAAAATGAAAATAGTAAATTTTGGAAGTCTTTAGAATCATTTGAATCATTGTCCAATAAATTAACATTAAAGTCGCCCACTATAACAGTTTTGTCGGCGGGTTTGATGGCGTGTAAAATCAAATTGATTTTATTTAAAAAAGGCTCAAATTTATAATTGGGTGGGCGGTATATCGCGATAACTTTTAGCACACCCCTAGATTAAGCATGCCCCGATTCAACGTCTACACGGAGAACGTCGACATTTTCATCATCAAATGCACTGTTATCATTTACAACATATTTGATGTCATGCTTTATGAACACACCAACACCTTCGCCTCGTTTGCTTTTTCTATTTTTATATACAAAATTGTAATTATTTAACTTAATTAAATCAACTGTTTCATTGTTCAACCACGTTTCTGATATTACTATAATTTTTAAAAAGTCGTCGAATTGTTTTAAGAAGAATTCTAGATTTAATAATTTATGAAACAAACTTCGAGCATTCAGATGAATGATTGGTAGGTGATTGTTTTTCATTTTATTCTTCAATTTTATTATGTTAGACAATTCTTTTACAGTGTAATATTTTGATTCTTCGAGATTCTCTTCTATGAAGTTTTTATTCATTGCTATTTTTAGTTGAAACAACATTTGCCGACAGGTCATTGACAACATTTGCCGACAGATCATTGAAACACCATTCGCGGACGATGATTTGGTCTGGCCAGTTTTCTGCATTCATGAACTCAGCTGAGTCTGTTTCATAAATACAAACTCTGAATGCAGCGCTTGTCTGTTGAACATCGATTTTGTCAGAGTTCGTGTTTTGTGTGTTGATCGATGTTGTAGCTTGCTTTGAGCGGCGATTAAAAATTGAGTTTTTGATTGCTGAGCAACCAAGCACCTCAATTTTCAATCCATTTATGTGTTCGCTTAACTCTTTTGCAGTGCATTGTTGGTCCAATCGACCAACGTAAAAACTTTTCTTTTGGCGAATGTTTCATCGCTTTCAAATTTGTTTGTTTATCAGTTTGGGTGCCTATAACTGTTTTCATATTTGCTATGTTAGTGTTGTGTGTTTTTTTCTTTGTTTTCAACATGTTGATGTTCGCCACGTGTTGAACATTCGCCACGTGTTTAACATTCGCCACGTGTTGAACATTTGAGCTCTTTTTAATTTTACGTTTTACAATCTCTGACCAGTCAGATTGCTTGCTCGATTCGGTCTTGCAATCGGATTGCTGCTTTCTTTCTACTTTTGGGCTATTGTTAATAGCCGCATTATTTACCATTTCTCGGAAGATGTTTCTTTCTTCAATAAATAGTTCTTCTAATTTTTTTAACTTTTCGTCAAGAATTGACTCAAATTTAGCTTTTTTTGAGCTTGGAATTTTAAAAAGGTTGAGAGCAGCATACTGAGGCAATTTGCTCTCAATTTTGTTGCTCAGAATAGTTTTTATTGTTAGTATTAAATCACTAACGTTGTCCTTTTTAGAATTTCCAGAACTGTTTGGCTTTATTTTATCATCTTTTTCTAGATTTAATGCATCTAGATCGCTGGTAAGTATTTTTTTTGCTATTCTAATATCTTCACAATTATAGAAATCCATTATTTCGTAAATGAATTCCGCGTCGTCAATTTTGTCAGAATTATTAAATAAATAACACAATAACTCGTTAATGCAAACCGCTCGCGACATCGTACCGGAAAAAAGTATTTGTATGTATGTACGTATGTTTGTATGTATGCTGTTTGTGTTTGTTTGTATGTGTGTACGTATGTTTGTATGTACGCTTGTATGTGTGTATGTATGTATGTTTGTATGTGTGTACGTGTCTTATTATGTGTTTATATTCACGATGGCGACGATGACGATAAAAAAAAATCGTCATTTGTTATTATGGATAATACAAACTACTGGGTAGTGTATGTGTGTGTGTGTGAATGTGTGTGTGTGTGTTTGTGTGTGTGCAGCAAGCAAAAGTGTACAATCCTACAACCCCAATGTATGCGTATGTTGTATGTACGTACGTATACACGTGTATTGATTGGGCACGCGAAACACGCCTGGTCTTTTGGAGCGGTCAACAACATCGTTATCATCATCGCCATCATCGTCATCATCATCGCCATCGTCGTCATCATCATCATCGTTGTCGTCGTCATCATCATCGTCATCATCGTCATAATCGCAAAAACGTCATCATTGTGAATATTATCATCCTATTTTGTTATCTTCGTCTTTAAATACTGGCATTTTGAAACGTGGTCGTCATCATTACCTCTTCGTAATCATCATCGTCGTCGTCGTCATCCTCTTTTTGTAATCATCATCATCGTCGTCATCATCCTCACCATATGATGTATTTATATGGGGTATTTATACCGAGAGGTACTGTCGCACTGCAATTCATCACCATCCACAACGCATCATTTGTTATCATCTACTTATCTATATTAACGTCATTCTCTTTCTCTTCGTCCTCATCATCTCTATCATCATCATCGTCATCATCATCATTTTCACCATCATCGGCATCATCGTCATCATCGTCGTTGTCGTCCTCGCCATAAAGACAGTAACATAATCTCATCGATGTAGTCACGTGATTGTAGTGACTACCAAGTAAACATGGTCACTAGTAGGATTATCATCATCAACAACAACAACATCACAATCATCATCATCGTCCCATTATCGTCATCATCATCATGATTACCAACGTCATAGTTGTCACGGCCACAACAACCACAACAGCCACATTATCACCTCAACACAACATCCGAACACTCGTTTAATACTGCCAGGGTTTAAAGGATTTTATTTTTCATTCGTTCATTTATTCGTTCATTCACTGATGCACGCATGCATTCATTCATTCATTCATTCATTCATTCATTCATTCATTCATTCATTCATTCATTCATTCATTCATTCAATAGCTCGTTTATTCATTCGTTCGTTCGTTCGTTCGTTCATTCATTCATTCATTCATCCATTCATTTATTCTTTCATTAATTTAAATTGAGCTCGTGCGTAAGTACGTGCACAAGAATTCAATAATTATATGACTCAGATGCAAACCTCACAACAACAACAACAATTATAGCGATGCAAATAATAATTATAACAACAACAGCAACAACAACAACAACAACAACAATATCAATAACATATCATCGTGTGACAAACAAGCACATTATCATTGACGGAACAAGCACTTATCATTATTTATGCTATTTTTAAGTTTATATAAAGTAAGAAAAACCAGAAAAAATGACTAAAAAATATAGAGATGGAAAGAAAGTAAGAGATGATAAAAAGGACAAAGAGAGAGAAAGAGAGAAAAAGAGAAAAAGAGAAAGAAAGAGAGAGAGAGAGAGAGAGAGAGAGAGAGAGAGAGAGAGAGAGAAAGGTACTTAAAATTATTTGAAACACAAATAGAGGAAATAGATTTACTCTCAACATTTTTGTAAAAGGTTTATAAAGCGCGATGAAATGAAGAGGTTTTACAGTGAAGTTAGCTATGTTGGCTCCCTCTCTCTCTCTCTCCCTCTTTCTCTCTCTCTTTCTCTCTATCTCTTTCTATCTCCTTCTCTCGCTCTCTCTTTCTCAAATTTTTCAAAATAACTTCATAACGAGCAACATATTTGTTTAATTTGTACGCACTAATGTTTAACAATAAAAATATTTATATAATATTTTGGAGGAATTGTTGATGTTGCAAGATGTCACTTTTAGGCTTTCTAGAAACATAGGCTTTCTAGAAACATGTTTGGCTTGCTCGCTAATGTTTTTGTATGGCATTATTGGGCTATAATTTCAAATTTGTCGCCATATTTTCGTCATTTTATTAATTAATTAATTAATAGATTAATTAACTAATTAACAATTTAGAATATTTAAACCACGAAACCAATTAAATGACATTATTTATTTGTTTATTTAGAATATTTATTTCTGATTCTTTAGGCTAGGACTAATTTATTTTAAATTTAGAACGCAATTTATTTCTAGGATATCAAATTATGATCTTTAGGCATAAATTTCATTCAAAGATTTTGTCTGTGTGTG